AAGTGCTTAAAATTGTACAATATGTAGGAACCACTTAACAAATGTTATCATCATGAATGTCATTATTATAGGTCACTAACCTTGCTATCTAGCTTTACAAAACTTAATTACAGAAAAACTTCTCACTTTATTTAAAATGTTAAAAGTTCCCAGACATGAAAAACTAAAGGAGTTCTAAACCCTTATTACAAGAAATGTTGTCGGGACTTCTTTAAGAAGAAAAGATCAAAAACCTAAATAATATAGTAAAGAAAAAAATCTCACCAACCAAGGCAAACATAATAAAAGCAGTGGATTAACCAACTACAACAATAAATTAAGGGATGTACACACACACACACACACACACACACACACACGAAGTAAAAAATAATTACAAAAACATAAACATGGAAGAGATGAGTAAAAACAGTACTGATTTTAGAACATATTTGAAACTAAATGACCATAAATTTAAAACAGACTGTTATAAGCAAGAGACTGGTATATAGGAAGCATACAGTACCCACAAACCAAAAATCTATGAGATACACAAGAAATAAAGAGAAAGGAATCCAAATATAAAACTATCGAAAGTCATCAAAATACAAGAGAAGAGAGCAAGAGAATAAAAGAAAAACATAGAAGTACAAAAACAATCAGGAAACAACAAAATAAAATGGCAATAACTACCTACATATCAATAATTACTTCAAATATTAATGGACTAAATGCTCCAATCAAGAGACAAAGGGTGGCTCAAAAACCAATACCAACACAGGTGCTGCCCTCAAAAGACACATTCAGAAAGAAAGGCTCATAGACTGAAAGTAAAAAGTGGAAAAAGACATTTGATGCAAACAGAAATTTTAAAAAGCTGGGGTATCAATACTTCTCTAGGAACAAATAGACTTTAAAACAAGGGTTGTGTCAAGACACAGAGAACGGCATTTCACAATAATAAAGGAATCAAACCAGAGGACATAACTCTCATAAACATTTACATATCCTACGTAGGAGCACTTAAATACATAAATCAAATATTGATGGACATAAAGGGAGACAAAGACAATACTACAGTCATAGTAGGGAACTTTAAAACCCATGGATATCAGTGGATAGACAACCAAAGAGAAAATCAACAAGGAAACAGTAATGCCAAATGACACATTTCATCAAATAGACTTAACTGATATTTAAAGGACATTTCAGCCAAAAGCAGAATATAGATTTTATGCTAATGTACATGGAATATTCTCCAAGACAGGCTGCATATTAGGCCACAAGCTTCAATAAATTTAAGAATATTGAAATCATATCAAGCATCTTCTCAAACATAATATGAAACTAGAAATCAGTTAGTTACAAGAAGAAAACTGGAAAACACACAAACACCAAAGGTTAAATAACATGCTACTAAAAAATGATGGGTTAACAACAACATCAAAGAAGAAACCAAAAGATATACTGAGACAAATGAAAATGAAAAACAACACCAAAATATAGGTCTACTTCAAGACACAAGAAAAATCTGAAACAATATAACATTACATCTACAAAAAATAGAAAACGAATAACAGAGTCCAGATGAGTAGAAGGAAGGAAATAATAAAGATAAGAGTGGAAATAAATGAAATAGAGTCTAAAAAACAATAGAAAAGATCAATGAAACCAGCAGCTGCTTCTTTGAAAAATAAACAAGAGTGATAAATCTATACCCAGACTCATTAAAAAACAAACAAACAAAAAAAAACCCTAGAGGGTTCAAAAAAAATAAAATTAGAAATGAAAGAGGAGTGACAAAAGATACCACAGAAATACAAAGGAAATGCAACGGACAATTATATGCCAACAAATTGGACAACCTAGAAGAAATGGGTAAGTTCACAGAAACAAACAATCTTCCAAGGCTGAATCTGGAAGAGACAAAACCTAAACATACCAATAACTAAAGAAATCAAATCAGTAATTAAAAACTCCTAACAAACAAAAGCCCTGGAACAGATAACTTCACAGGTAAATTCTACCAAACATCCAAAAAAGAATACCTTTTCTTCCCAAACTACTTCAAAAAATCAAAAGGGAGGAAAAGCTCCCAAACTCATTTTACAAGGCCATCATTATCCTATCAAAAAGTGAGAAACACACTAGAAAAGAAAAATTGTAGGCCAATCTCCCTAAGAACACAGATGAAAAAATCCTCAACAAATATGAGCAAACTGAATTCAACAATGCATTAAAAAGATCATGCACTACAATCAAGTGGGATTTATTCCTGGGATGCAAGACTGATTCAGTATCTGCCAATTAATTAATGGACATTTTATATGGTTAACACCATATAAACAAACTGGAGGATAAGTACCATATGATCATATCAATAGATGCAGAAGATTGTTTGACAAAAACAATATCCATTTATAATAAAGTGAGCAAAGTGAGATAGAAGAAACATACCTCAACATAATAAAGGCCATAAAACAAATCCACAGCTAACGTCATACTCAACAGGAAAAAGTTAAAACCATTTTCATAAGATGAGGAACAAGACAAGGGTGTCCATTTTCACCACTTGTCTTGATCATGGTATTGGAAGTCCTAGCCAGAGCAATCAGACAAGAAAACAAAATAAAAGGCATCCAAATTAAAAGGAAGAAATAGCCCTGGCTGGGTGGCTCAGTTGGTTGGAACAGCATCCTGTACACCAAAAAGGTAGTGGGTTTGATTTCCGGTCAGGGCACATACCTAGACTGTAAGTTCCATCCCCAGTCGTGGTGCATACAGGAGGCAACAAATTAATGTTTATTTCTCACATTGATGTTTCTGTTTCTCTCTCTCTCCCTATCCTCTCTTCCCACCACCATTCCTCTCTCTCTCCCTTCCCTTCTCATGAAAATCAATAAACATATTCTCAGGTAAGGATTTTTTTTTTTAAAGGAAGAAGTAAAACATTATTTACAAATTACATAATACTGTATAGAGAGAACCCCAAAGATTTCACCAAAAAACAATTTGAACTAATAAATGAAATTAGTAAAATAGTAGGATTACAACATTACTATTCAGATTTTGGCTGCACTTTATACACCAATAACAAAATAAGAGAAAAAGAAATTAAGAAAACAATCCCATTTACAACTGCATCAAAAAGAATAAAATACATAGGAATAAATTCAACCAAGGAGGTGAAAGACCTGTACTCAGTAAACTAGAAGACACTGAAGAAATAATTTGAAGAGGATAAAAATAAATGAAAGGCTATACCAAATTCATGGATAGGAAGAATTAACATTGTTAAAATGTCCATACTACACAAAGCATCTACAGATGCAATGAAATCCCTATGAAAATACCAATGGCATTTTTCACAGAACTATGGCAAGTACTCCTAATTATATGGAAGCACAAAAGACCCTGAGGAGTCAAAGCAATCTGGAGAAAGAAGAACTAAGTTGGAGGTATCACACTACCTAGTATCAAACTATATTAGAGTGTGGTACTGGCATAAAAACAAATAAGCCTTAGAACAAAATAGAGAACCCAGAAAATACCCACATCAATAAGGACAATTATGACAAAGAAGGCAGGAATATACAATTTGGTTAAGGCAGTCTCTTCAATAAATGGTGTTTGGAAAACTGGACATATAAAAGGATGAACCAGCATCACTGTCTTATGCTATATACAAAAATAAAATAAAAATGGATTAAAAACTTAAATGTAATACCTGAAACCATAAAACCCCAGAAGAAAAAACAGGGGCTACTGCTACTCTTTGACAATGCTCTTAGTAATTATTTTTTTGGATATGTTTCCTTAGGCAAGGAAAACAAAAGAAAAATAAACAAATGGGAGTACATCAAACTAAAGTGTTTTCACAAAGTGAAGAAAACCATCAACACTGCAAAAAGATAACCTACTGAATGGAAGAAGATATTTACCAATGGTCATCTGATAAAGAACTCACAATTCAACTCCAGAACCCCTAAAAAAATTTGATTAAAAAATGGGCAGAGGACCTGAATAGACATTTCTTCAAAGAAGATATACAGATGGCCAATTGACATATGAAAAGATGCTCAACATCACTAGTCATCAGTGAAATGCAAATTAAAACCACACTGAAATGTTATCTCACACCTGTCAGAATGCCTATGGAAAAAAAGGAACCCTTGTGTACTCTTGGTGGGATCATAAATTGGTGCAGCACCATGGAAAATAGTATGAAGCTTCTTTAAAAATTAAAAACAGAACTACACCGTATAATCCAGCAATGCCACTTATGGGTATTTATCTGATGAGATCCAAAACACTAATTTAAAAAGACATATGCAACCCTATGTTTATTGCAGCATTATTTACAATAGTCAAGATATGGGAGCAGCCCAAGTGTCTATCAATAGGTGAATGGATAAAGAAAAAGTGGTATAATAGAATATTTAACAGCCATAAAAAGAATGAAGTCTTGCCTTTGTGACAACATGGATGGACCTAGAGGGTATTATGTTAAGTGAAATAAGTCAGACAGAGAAAGACAAATATCAAATGATTTCACTTATATGTAAAATCTAAAAAACAAAACAGAAACAAACTTGTAGATACAGAGAACAAATTGATGGTTGCCAGACAGAAAGGGTGTTGGGGGTGATGCATGAAAAAGGGGAAGCAATAATGATGTACAAATTGCCAGTTGTAAAAACAGTCATAGGGATGTAAAGTACAGCATAGGAAATATAGGCAATAATATTGTAATAACTATGTATGGTGGAAGATGGGCACTAGATTCATTGGGGTGATCATAAGTTATATAAATGCATAATCACTATGTTGTATATCTGAAATAATATAATGTATTTCAACTGTAAATAAATTTTTTTTTAATTTTTAAAAAGATGAAAATGATTTTACGGTTTTAGAAGAAAACTTTTAAAATATTCAACAGTAATAAAAAAATTAAAGTCATATATTAATAGATATTAAAATTGAAATGCAAAGATACAATACTCTTACAGATAGTTTACCTCGAAGTCTATCAGCTGTAGGTCAGCTATCAGTGTCACCAGCAGACCACTATTGTAGAGTTCTTGTGCTAGCTGAGCCACAGCCTCTGTTGGGGGTTCTTTGTCATTTGCACCACACAGAATTTCTTTCATGACTTGCAGTGATTTCGACACTTCTTCTGAAGCCTAGTGACCAAATAGTATTGCTAAAATTTAAGTGAATAAAAATGTTCAGGCTTTTAACAAATGAACAAACAAAAGCCACTTATTTAGGTCCTGTTTGTTTATGATTAAAGAACACCATACAGTTAAAAACAAAAACTTTTTAGTAAGCGCTGCTTTTTTATTTTGTTACTAAAATGTATATATATATATATACACATATGTAAAATATCTCTAGTATTTTTCTATTTAGTCAACATAATTAAAAAAATATTCTTTTAAACCTACTCAGTCAACTTTGTTAGTAATTAATTCTAAATTTAACTCTTGCAAATTAAATTTTAAAAACTTATCAGTAGCTACTAGCCCTTAAAGCATTTGCTAAGGTTTTTCAACAAGTCCCTATCTTTCTGATTTTTTTTTAGAGAGAGGGGAAGGGAGGGAGAAAGGGAGAGAAACATGGATGTGGGAGAGATACATCAATCAGTTGCCTCTCACATGCTCCCAACTGGGGACATGGCCAGCAACCCAGGCATTTGCCTTGACCAGGAATCAAGCCAGTAAGTGACCTTTTGGTTTGCAGGCCAGCACTCAATCCACTAAGCTACACCAGCCAGGGCATTTTTCTGACTTTTTAAATGGACTAGGTATAAAATCATAAATTGTCAAAACCCATAAACTTTCCCCAAACCCAAGATCTTTGTCAATCTTTCCCCTCACACACAGTCATTATCTTTTTTGCTATCTATGAAACTTAAAAAAAACCCCAAACAACTCATTACATTTAAACAATAATAGGAAAATTCATAGAGGTAAATTGGTGCGTGTTATGGTCTGGTGAGGGTAGAATGAGAAATGACAGCTAATGGGATAGTTTCTTTTTGGGGTTGAAAATGTTCTGGAATTAGATAGTAGTAATGGTTGTACCACCTTGAGAGTATACTAAAAGTGACCAAACAGTACACTTTTAAGTGGTGTGTTATACGGTATGCAAATTATATATCAATAAAAAGCTATGAAAAATTAATACAACTAAAGAGAGAACAGATTAATTAGTTAACAGTTTGATTTGCTGACCATTTAAAAATATATACATATATATATACACACACACCACAGTTTTAAGCATAGTATTCTAATCACTATAATTGAAGAAGGAAATAAACAAAATGAGGCAATATAAAAATAATTCATAGTATTATGGTGCTACTTAAAAAATAATTTCCAGATATATTTTATGATCTAACTGAAGCAATCCTGAATAAATCCTTAATTTATTAAATAAGTTTTTAAAATTGTGATATATATCCATAGAAGAGTACTTTAAACATATATACAGAGTTAAGAATAATTGTAAAGCAAACACCTTTGTGATCATTGAAATGCTCAAGAAACATTTTAAATACCCTAGAAGTTATCTGAATGGCCCTTTTTCAGCCTAGAAGTAAAATTTTTGTTTCTGGTGACAATCATGTATGTACTTTTCTTCATAGTTTTCTCACTTATGTGTGCAGCCCAAAACAATATAGTTTAAGTTCTGTTGATTTGGAATAGCACCTGTACTCTTGTGAGATTCATCCATGCTGCTGCATGTAAGTAGCAGTTCTTTAATTTTCGTTGCTCTATAGTATCTCAGTGAGTGACCACTTCAATATCATCTCTACCGTTAGTGAACATTTGGGTTGTTTTTGTTGAGGGGTTATTATGAACACAATGCTATGACTATTCCTGTACATGCATCCTGGGCCCATGTTCAAGAATTTCTCTATAATTTATATCTAGTAGGAGCACACATAGCTTCCTATCTAACAGTTAATATCCTAAACTGGTTTCCAAAAACCAGTTTATACTTTAACAGATAGAGTGAATCAAAGTTCTTATTGCTTTCCATACTTGTCAACACTTAACATCATCAGACAATTTTGCCAAAGTAGAACATGTCTATTATGAATATACTGCAGTTAATTGGATTTTTCCTTATTACTAATGAAGATGAGTATCGTTTTTATGTTTTAAAATTTTTTTCTCTCTTTTGTCATTCAGATTTACTCTTTTATGAAGATCATTTCTTTTTTCTCTTTAGACCAGTATTTGTCTTGATATTACAAAGTATACTAGGATTAAAGTATATTTCTGCATTACTTTCAAGATGTAGGACAAGAAGTATATTTCTACATACTTACAAGAGAACAAGATTATATCATACACTAAGACAGAAATATATTATGCATTCAAGGGTATTTATTTTATAGGTATCTTTGGTCTTGCCATAAACTAGTCACTTCAGAGAGAAATCAAATATGTAGGATACAATATTCCTTTGAGGAAGTAATTAAAACACCAAAAAGCCCTTCCTATGAGGAAGCTGTGCTTGGTAGGACCTTAAGCAATGTTAAAATGAGGCTGCACTGTACTAGAAATTATCAGTTCATCTTCTAATAAAAACTTTTTATCTTTTATGCCTGCATAACATTATATACCACTATAAACCCTTAGATTTTTAAGTTATGTAGTCTAGAGGGATCCAAGGTTCATCAGAGTCTCCAGATAATGAATCAAGAGTTCAAGACAACAGACTCAACAATTACCAAGTATATAAAACTTGAAATCAATTTAAATGTATTTACAGAGACCCTATGTGTCCCATCACAGACCATATTTGGGGTACTAACTTTTATGTTGGTTTTGGTCTTAGAATACATATAGTTTAATAATAATGTTACTGTTTTAGCTCATACCTTGTCTGTCTTTTTGTCTTGCTTTTCCAAAATGGCTAAGTTGTCTTTCAGAATTTTCACAATTTCTGCTGGATTTTTATGTGATTTACTAAACAAAGGCATTTTTTTTTTCATCTATAGAAATCACTTCTTCCAATATGGAATGCTAAAAACAAACATATAAAAAAACCAAAAAATTATAAATTTAACATAATTAAATTGTTATACTAAAATGACATAAATTTTCAATTCAGGAATTTGAAACATTAAAATGCAACTAAAATAAGTTTCCAAATTTAAACACATACAAAATATTTTTGAAACTTTACCCAAAAGGTTTTCCTCAAAGTTTAAAATTTTCCCTATAATAGAAACACAGGATTATACAAAAATGGGGAAAAGAGTACCTTTAGAGAAAAAGCTGATATTTAAAACTAGACATTTTGACAAAAAAAAAGTGATGATGATAATAATAATAGATGAAATATGTAACACTGAAGTGGGATTAAGATCCACATAGTATGGTAAATATTTAAAAGCATGCTACTCTACAGCAATCACAAAATTACCATGTAAAATTATTTAGAATCTGATCTTTTCTCTTCAAATATTCAGCTGACTATACTCATTGATAAAATGAGGGCTACCATGGTGGAGGTTGAAGAGTGAGAAAAGAAGTATCAATTCTTGTTTTTGAGAACTTCTACTATTTACATAGAGCAGAGAAAGCCAAATATGGCTGTCATTGCCCTATTTATACTAAAAATGTTAACTATTGAGGGAAAAATCTTATAATTTAAAGCTCCAGTTAGGCATATTTATTTACTTTACATTTTTTAGGAAAAATATTTTAAGCATTATGGAAATATGATGTAGTATACATCAAAGGTTGCCATTAACCAATGACCCGGAGATAACAACTATTATCAGTTTGGTATATATTTCTTCTCCTGAGTTTTTCCTATACATATAAAAATAAATATATTTTAAAACAAAAATAGAGTAATACTAAATACAGTATTTTCCAACTTTCTCCATCTTTTTATATCTTGAATATAGATAAGTACATGTTTAGATCTATTTTATAGCAATATAGTATTCCATTATACAAATATGTTATATAATTATTTGAAAAGTTCTTGTATTTTACCAATACCCTATTGATGAACTTTTGGGTTAACACCACTTCTCCTAATATTTTTCTTATTAACAATGAAGATTACATGTAAATGTATACACAAACATGTATACCAGTTGACAGCAGCACTCTCTAACCAGCTATTCCTGTAGCATAACCTTGGCTGTGGTTCTAAATCCCTCATCCCCCTAGATTCCTACTTCCTAATATAGTTCTCTAGTATTGGACAGATCAGTGAGTTAACTTATATCCTTCCAATAAATTATTTCAGTATTGTTTGGGATCAAGAATTCCAATGCAATACATATATGTTATGAAGTAGGAATCAAAACTGTTGGTATAAATTATGATGTTAAACAGAAGACTTAAAAAACATTCCATCTTTTCAGTATGGGTGCCTTAACTTCCCAGTGTGGGAGGGTAAATGTGAGGAGGAACTTGTCTGCTTTTAGGGCAAGGATAAGTTTGAAAAGCATGTTAAAGGACACCAGTCAGCCTCTATAGCTGACACAGAAAGTTGAGAGAGCAATGAAATATAAAGTATGTGAAGATCACACTGTGAGTCTCAGTGGGTGGTGTCAGGTGCAAAAATGGAAGAGCGTTGGAAGGACATTGTGTCCTGTCCCTTTATAATACTCAAGAATAAAATGATAAAAATGCACTAGGTTTTTCTTTAATAATCAGGCCTGAACATAAATAAAAGCAAAGTATATTTAAAAGTTTATGTAATGTGGAGGAGGGTGGGTGCTGAAATAATCACTAGATGATTGGGCAAAGCAAGCAATGTGTTGCATTGTACCAGTTTGATCTTGGGCACAGTATGTGATCTTTCTAAGACTCTGTTCTTACCTGTAAATGGTGATAATAACATCTCTCTTAGGATTGTTATAAGAATGAAAGGTATGCAGACACTTGCACAGGGCCTAGTAGAAGTGAGGCACTCTATAATGCTTAGATGCTATTATTAGAAAGAGTTCCATAACAATTAATTAATTATTTCACTATAGAGAATGGCAGAGTAATTGAGATATTTTGTCTTTATTAAGTGTCCTAGATATTTTAACTTTTTGTGCCACTTACATATTTTTTAAATATAAATTTATTTTTGAATGTTAAATACTCAATATCAAGTATAGGTATTAAAAAAATTTTAATGCTAAATGCATTTGTATAATTGTTATCTTTCTTTATGTAGTTCTGTACTAAGGAATAGTCAGTCAACTAGGAATTTCAACTAAATACATGTTCCCTGACATCAAAACAGAGTACAAATGATATGGTGTCATATATATGATATGACATGATTTTTGTTCGTTACCTATTGCTCTGTTAAAGTCTCACTGTAATGAACTAATTCTAATGCTAATTCCACTAAAATTATATTTTCAGGACATGTTAATGTTTAGCCAGCATTACCTGATTCATGGTATCCCATTTATTCATCCACTTACTAAACAAAGAATCTGAGTAAGTACTAAGCACAGGTATCTTGCTAAGTACTAGGGATAGAAAAACACAATCCCTGTTTTTTGGAGCTTATTATTAAGTGGAAAAGTAAACATTTAGGGGCCATGAGATTATATAACAGTGGGAATTATCACACAGTATATACAGTTTTCCTTTCCTCTAGTACAGTTTTCTTTTCATTTTGAATTATTTTCATATTTTAAATATATCTATTTACTATAATAACTATAACATAAAATTAGCTTAATAATGTTTTAAGATTTTAGATGATCATTATTCTTCAATTCTGGGACCATATTTTGATGGAAACCAACACCCAAACTCTCAAACCATGCCGTTACAGCCCCCAGACCCCCTGCAAAATAATATGCTCTTTTCTGCCCTGTTCTCTCCAGACCATGGCCAGCCCCACCCCTCTCCCAGACTGAACACCTGCCCCTATAACTTTCAAACTCAAGGCTTCCCTTTCTATAATCTGGGCAACAATGCTGGTCAGTGCCATTTGTATCCACCCCAGTCACATCATTTATCCCACCTTAATTTAATTAATTAGTCAGCTGGCACTCACAACTACCTGCCAATAATCAGGCCTAAAAAACATAGTACTTAAACTCCCATCTAGCTCTGAGCTGACAATTGATCATTAAGATATAGAAATTATTAGCTTTATCTGGGTGTCATTTGTTCTATCAATAAACTGAAAGGTTTTTCTTTTGTTTAATTATGAATTTTCTATTAATATCACTTAACTCTTAATTTTCCATTTCATTCATAAAATTATGTATTAAAAAATATTGGAGATCTGGCCAAGATAGAGGCATAGGCAGAGATGCTTCACTTCCTCACACAACCAAAAGAAGGATAACAACTAATACAAAAGCAAAAGACAACTGGAACGGCCAGAAAAATCAAACTGCATGGAAGTCCAACAACCAAGGAGTTAAAGAAACATCCATCCAGACTTGTAGGAGGAGTGGAGACAGGGCAGAGAGGATGTGGGGCTTGGCAGTGGCTGGCGAACCTGGGGCAGGTGATCCCACATTCACCTGTGGATAAGCAGAGAGGAACAATGGGGAGCAAGACAGACCCTGAAATGCAGGGTTTCAGTGTGGGAAACTAAAGACTCAAAACCCTGGCTGTAAAAATTTGTGGGGGTTGTGGTGGTGAGAGAAACTCCCAGTCTGACAGGGAATTCCATTGGAGAGATCCACGGGATCCTAGAACATACACAAACCCACCCACCTGTGAATCAGCACCTGGATGGGCATAATCTGCTTGTGAGTAGCAGGCAAGTGACTGGAAGTGTGCCCAGAGTGAAGCAAGCAGCATTGTTCCCTCTCGAACCTCTCCCCAACAGACAGTGCCACAACCCAGTGACCTGGGTTGCCTCGCCCTGGTAAATATCTAAGGCTCTGCCTCTTACAACATAACAGGAGTGCCAATACAAAGAAATATGGCCCAAATGAAAGAACAGATCAAAACTCCAGAAAAACAGTAAGTGATGAGGAGATAATCAACCTATCTGATGCAGAGTTCAAAACACTGGTAATCAGGATGCTTACAGAATTCATTGAGCTCAGTGGCAAAATGAAGAAAGACATTAAAGCTACACAAAGTGAAATAAAGCAAAATATACAGGGAACCAACAGTAAAGGGAATGAAACTATGACTCAAATCAATGATTTGGAACAAAAAGAAGAAATAAACATCCAATTGGAACAGAATGAAGAAAGAAAAATTCAAAAAAATGAGGAGAGGGGAGGCTTAGGAACCTCTTAGACAACTTTAAGTGCTCCAACATCCAAATAATAGGGGTGCCAGGAGGAGAAAGGGAAGAGCAAGAAATTGAAAACTTATTTGAAAAAATAATGAAGGAAAACATCCCCAGTCTGGCCAAGGAAATAGACTTCCAAGAAGTCCAGGAAGTCAAGAGAGTCCCAAAGAAGTCGGACCAAAGGAGGAACACACCAAGGCACATCATAATTACATTACCCAAGATTAAAGATAAGGAGAGAATCTTAAAGCTGCAAGAGAAAAGGAGACAGTTACCTACAAAGGAGTTCTCATAAGACTATCAGTTGATTTCTCAAAAGAAACCTGATGACAAGAAGTATTCAAAGTCAGGAAAGGCAAGGACCTACATCCAAGATTACTCTACCCAGCAAAGTTATCATTTAGAATGGAAGGGCAGATAAAGAGCTTTCCAGATAAGGTAAAGTTAAAAGAGTTCATCATCACAAGACCTTACTATATGAAGTGTTAAAGGGACTTATCTAAGAAATAGAAAAAGATAAAAAACTATGAACAGTAATATGACAATAAACTCACAACTATCAACAACTGAACCTAAAAAACAAACAAAAACTAGGCCAACAACTAGAACAGGAACAGAATCACAGAACTGGAGATCACATGGAGAGTTATCAGTGGGGAGGGGGAAGGGGAGAAAGGTAAAGGAAGTAAGAAGTATAATAAGTAGGCAAAAATAGGCAGGGGGAAGTTAAGAATAATATAGGAAATGGCGAAGCCAAACAACTAAGATATACAACCTGTGGACATGA